ATAGTACACAAAAACCTTAGATCCGTTATGAATGAATTGATCCTTGTTCATATAAATTTCTGCCGTATTAGTTGTTATTTTACACAAGCTTTCGTCTGTTCATACAGACATCTTCAGGTATATAATAGATGTTGTTCTTGCTTTTTTTCTCTTAGTAATAAGAGGACATCGAAAATATATGTGTATTGTATCCGAAATGCTATTGAAAATGAGATATTGGTTTTTGAACGCGCCAATGCAACGCTGAGTTTGATTTTTGAATTTCTTTTTTAAATGTTTGCGTTTATACCAAATATGGTAATGAACAAATTATTTTACTGGTAAATTTTACTGTCAAAGTGGCATGAACTATATTGTTCAATAATTACAGTAATGTCGCACTTATTAACCAAAAGACGCACATGGATCGGTTATTTAAATTACAATAAACGTGCAATCAATTTACAAATACATGAATTATTCACACAAAACTAATGCAAAAGGTTAATGATTTTAAATGGCGAGACATCCATCTCGCAAACAATTCAAATAGTACACAAAAACCTTAGATCCGTTATGAATGAATTGATCCTTGTTCATATAAATTTCTGCCGTATTAGTTGTTATTTTACACAAGCTTTCGTCTGTTCCTACAGACATCTTCCTTTCCTTTATTTCGGTTTCACATTTTCCTTCGTCTATTAAAATCCCGTTTAATATCAGCAGAGACGCCTATAACCATCTCGACTTTTTAATTTCCTCTTCTCTCCTGACGCTAATTACACCTATTGATGAAAGCCGACAGGACAAGCACACCTATTGCCTTCTCGCGGGGTCACGAATACAGATCCATGAGTCGGCCTATTATTTTAATACTTTTCAATGTTGCGCACGGCCATTCTGAACTCGTTGAGATGAAAGTAGCTTTAATGAATGATACATAGTAAAAGTTCAGACGACCTAAATTCATTTGCCCCACCTTTGTTCAAACCTTCATCCGCCAGTATCTTCGTATTCCCTTGATAAGAAGGAAGTCCCACTTAGACAGCTTCTTCCCAAGAATTGTTACTTTGTGTAATAGACTACAAAAAGGATGCTTCTCCGGTCACTAAAATCGTAACATTTTCAAGTCTAGGGTCAACATTTATCTAGTTATCTATCCTGCATATCCTTATAATTTGTGCTTACTTCTATAGTGGGTTATCATTTATAGTGAAGTGTATAAGTGTTGAAACAGATTAGTTTGATTTGGCCTTGTTAATTAGATAGCCCACCATAAGAGGGGTATAAAACAAGAAAATCAAATTGTAAAGTGAAACAACAAATTTATATACATATAAATCAATTAAGGTCTTTACAAATAAAATTAATGTATTTTGGTTGATACAAGGTCGTCAAAATGTTCATAGTAGTCCTTGCAAGAATGAGTTTATCTGTACGTAGGCAGGAACGTATGTGTGGATGTACGTATGTATGTATGTATGAGCGTTATCGTAGGGTAGGAATGTCTTTGAAGTAATCGCTCAGTCTTAAAATGTTCCGTTCGTTTATCAAGTATAAAAGAGGTGAGGGAGAACGGTAGAGATAATAATAACGATCGCTTGACGTTTGTCAAGGGACGTGTTAATACGCTCGTCTCTTCTCTGGTAACAGGCGAACTTGCCCGTCTTTTATTTTGTTTGTGGGGCTTGAAAAAATCATTTGGGTATTCACTCCCGGATATGATTCGGGCTTTTCTATTGGACGACGAACAGACTTTTGTTTCTGAGAATTGAAGATTATTTGAATTTTGTTTTTAAATGTTTTCTAATTTTCTATTGGCCGAAAAACATTTCGCATCAAGGTGTGAAATTTCACAAGTTTTGTTTTGGATTCGCTTTTGCGTGTGTGTTAAGCAAAGTTTGTAAATTCGAGTCTTTTTAATTTCTAACAAAATCAATGAGTCAGTGCTTAGCATTTGAATTTTTAAATCTAGATCTTGTTTTGTTCACTACACTTCCTCCTCTTTCGCTATTTCAACAACCTCATTCAGTAACTCTACCATGAGTGACTCTTGATATATAAAATTTCTGTGATGTCAACGAACACTCGTTTGCTACTTTTTTTTAAATGTCAACGAATACTCGTTGTCACTTTTGTAATGCTCGTTGTAGTAGAGACTTTGTAATCGCAGATACAACTATAGTAACGCCGTTGTTTAGACTGGTGTCAGACGCCTTCGAATAGCACAAACACTAATAGTACCTACTCTATAATACTCGCTCGAATAGTAACCCGTATAGTGATCCCGAATAGAGAAATAGTATAGTACATAGAGTAGAGAATAGTGGTCCGTATAGTAATAGAGGATAGACTAGAAATGTAGATCATTTAGACACACGATACCTCCTATATATGCGTTTCCTCTATGGTCACGTGGTTTACTTAATTCAATAATAGGATCGCCTGTGTTTGCTCACTGGCGATCTATGTTCAAACTCAAGTGTCGGCAGTGACACTTTATTCCTTTATAAAAAAAAAT